GGCCCTAAAGGAGACATACCCTATAGAAAGGCATTTTACCAAGAAGATTCAAATTCTACCCTTATTCCAATGATACCATTACCGCATTTGTATTCCATTAACTCGGCTGGATGGCTGAAGCCATTTATCTAACAAGATCTTCAAATAGCGTTTGGGTGGATTGTGACATGACACGTAATCTGGTATAATATCAATCTTCTAGTTGAACGGATGCCGTTATGGATAGCATCGATATCTCAAATTAACAAAATATCAAACTAAAGGAGGAACTGCAGTCACCTCAGTTTCAATTGACCAAATCTTCGCTTGTGCATTCGCAAAGTTGAAATCGAAACTAACGAAGTGATGTTGTTGAAAGAAAGAAGACAAAAGTGTTTCAAAAATTGCCTTTCCGTTGCCGTATTCTTTAAATGCTCCTCGCAGTGTAGTCCTAAGTGGTAACGGTTTGCAACGCGTTTTTGTGAAATCGATTACTTTCGTATTCTATGGAGTGAAATAATTGTGCGGTTGCTACTGTCTGGCTGTCAATAATATCCGACGAATACGTGAATTGAACGAAAGGTAGAATTCATGACGGTTGAATGGAATGGCGATACAGTAGGACAGACAATAAGATATTTTATCCGCAGTGGTTTACGGAACACTATCCACTCCTTTACCAATGAACTTAAAGAGTTTCGTAGCAGATGAGTATGACTAACCGCTACAGTCGTATCCTTGGCCTCGCATTTTGAAACCGGTCTACAACCCAGTACCTAAAGTGGATTGTTAACCAAGCACCAGGCATCGGAATATATTTAGCATCACTCCCGGAAGAATACAACCAAACTACCTTGAGATGAAAGCCACTTACATATGTTGCTGCGTACTCAAATCGCCCATTGCCTTGATCTGTTTATGAACTGAATGAATAATAACAGAAACATTATAATTCACATTGCAAAATGCTAAAATAGTGTTTAGCGGAGTCGTGGCTTACTTAAATGGCCTATACTATCAGTAACAATGCGAAGATACAGTATCATCATGTAGATCGAAGAAATTTTGCATTCAAAAAAGCATTCAAATAAAATCAATACCGTATTTTCCAGGTATTGACTTTATTTGAATACTTTTTTGAATGAATTTTTGAATTTTCTATAAAATTTAGTTTCAAATAACCACCTAAATTTTCAGATAACTTATCCTGGAAACCAAACTGAATTTTTGGCCAAATAGTACCGGCTTTTGCTTGGCTATTGTCAGACATTTCTTTAGCATAGGCTTATAGAAGACACTGGCACATTTAAGCCCGCTTAAGCAGTGATACGTTGTTGCTGCGGCTCGCGCCTGAGACTCTGAGGAGAGATCTTTGTAAATGGTACTTTGAGCCAAAGTTTAATCCGTTTCGTTTAATCCTTAATTCATATGATACATATATATATCACATGTTTAAGCCTAGGTCACGTCACTGTCCTCTTATTCCATTCGTAGTAGTACTACTTTCTGGAAAATGAAACAGGAGATGTTATAATTGCCACATAAACGTAGATATTATCATTTAACATAAAGGCATTCCCTTCTGATGGCATACTAGCGGGAATCAAAGCTTCATCAGAAGCTCCATGAAAAGAAAAGGTGCCACAAATGGCGCACAACATGCAAGTTAAAGTGACCAAGCTTTCCATTCCTCTGTTGGCAGTACCACATCTACAAATTTATTTAAACCCTTGCAACAGCGGATGAGTCGCAGTACAGTTCAAAGCATGCTCGTTGTATTGGCTATATCGACTGCTGAAGCTCTGGAAATCTAATGCTTGTAATCGGATCCTCTTTTTGGCATTCGAGCTCAATGAAACTTGTCTATTAGATCCCAATAATTAATTTCCTTTATAAACGTCTTCCCGTATTGAGACGATAAACGACGTGATGAAAGAATTTAATCGTGCTCTCCTTTGGAGTCAATATGGTCTGAACTCAGATCCTTCCCTTTGCGCTTGCATTCGCCCTTTCAATAAACAGATATACTTTAAACACATGGCTGTCCTTTTTTGGTTGTTTTCCGCTCTCTGTGGCACAGAAAAGAAGCTGGGCTTATGAGCGAGCGCGGTCTTCATCTTCCATGACGACTTCTCCTTTCGAGTCGCGGTAGCAGATGCGACAGCTACAGTGTTGCCCACAGTAAAAATTTGCCTTTCATATAACATTTCGAAATAGGATTAAAATTCTTATCCTATTGCATCGAATAAACGCGAGCTCACTCTTCAGTAATCTTCATCTTCCGTCGCCGCTGCTCCTTTGGAGTCGCAGAGGCAGACCCTTCGGACAGTGCTTCCAACGTTCCCAATCCCGTGCCAGTGTCTGAGCTTCGATAAAAGACAAATGGAGTCTGGAACAGACAGAATTTCCATATATTTGCACCAGGTTAATCTTGGCCGTTCCCTGGATCTTCTGCCGGTCGGATTTGCAAGGAAAAGTTGCTTAGCCTTCCTTTCTGGAGGCATTCGCGACACATGCCCAAGCCATCGCAGCTGTGACTTCTCAATCTGGAGAAACAAAGGCTGCTTACCAGCGCGGTCTAATACGTTAAACTATTTCACAAAAGTTTTAAAACGCGTATTTATTATTCCGATAAACTAACGATGTAAGGTTATTACCCTTGGGAATGAAACTATAAGTGCCGTGAAATCCTTTGGCACCAGCGCTATTTTCTCTGACATGGAAAACGATGACGATGACGTTGTGCAAGGAAATGCGAATCTGCGGCGAGATGGTGCCACAGTAGCGAATCATCTGGTGATGAACGAGGCGTTCGACATCCGGCTTCTCCAGCTCTGCGTAAATGTCGATATGATCCTCGCATCTACAACAACTTATCTAAAATAGTAATTAAAATGACCATTACTTTAGCGCATTGCCAGTCAGCTGAAAGTCAGTAAACTTCAATCGCACCCGTTGGGTAGGCTTAGCGATGAATGTATAGATGCACTGGAGATTTCTTGGATAATTGCTTGGAAAATCAGGGGAAGAGAAAGTACCGTTCACCGGACCTTGATCCAGCTGAATGTACATTTTGTCACAATCTAAAAAAAAAGCTACTGTTAAAGAGTTGTTCACATTTGAACATAATGCAGATTAATGCTTTACCTGCCTGTCTGTAGATATAGCTAAACAACGGCGAACTGTGTGCCTGCCGACAGTTACAAAATCCCTCGAAGCCAAAAGCAAATGACAAGTATAAGAAGTCCAAAGATAACGACAATCATAAACAACGCAAATATAATGTCGCAATCTAACTGTCGGCAAGTGTGGCATTGCTCATCTAAATATTGATCATCCATGTCGTCCAGCGTGACGGAGAAAACTGAATATTAAAGGGTCGCATTAATTAGAACACTGCCGAACACTTGCTTCGTGCGGATGACACATTGCGAAGAAATTTAAAAGAGTTACGTTGCAGCGACACATTTGCTTCGTGCTGACGCTGTGGCTGCTTTCCTCGGATTAAGCCGCAGCATGGATGCTTTTGGAACCGGTCTTCTTCGTGCCTCATTTCACGTTGTCATTGAAGAAACAACGCGCACAGACTTAGCGCGTAAACAGCGACAAAGAAGATTTCAATTGGACGATATAGTTGCCGCAGCGGTCAATATCCAGACTGAATTATGGACGAATCATTGTCACAACCTCAAAAATTCTATCTCTCGAGTCAACGGAGGAGGGTTCTTAAAGACCTGTACAAAACTAAGTTTTCTGGATACAGGTGACGGTGGTATTCTACGCGCTGACGTAAACAGAACGAAAGTGCCATCTCTTCAACAGCCATTGGAAATCTTGGCGCAACTTCAATAACAGCCCAAAAAAACTATCGCTGGCCAGTCACAAGGAACTTGAGTATCGTTTATTTCTTCCTGGAAAATCAAGTCATTTATTGACATCTTAGCCCTTTCTCAAGAAGATGCCGCATACATCATTAACAAGGATCATAGAGTAACTAACTAATATTAACTATTATCAACGCAGACAGCGAATCGATATCTTCTTCAAACCTAATTGCCAGTTTATGTTCATTCGTTTACACTAAACTTTTCCAACTGCTCTTAGCAAAAGCAGTAGTTAAGCTGCCGCTTAGTAAAGCTAAACGATAGAAATTTCCATCCATCATCGCAATCATGGCCATTGGACAAAATCAGAACTGCTGAGCAGGTCGAATTAGCGTGGCTTCTACAAGCTTAACCATCAGCAATTGAGCGACATGCCAATCATCCGTCAATAAACTATATCTTCTTCCCAAAAGGCAGCTAACACGGAAAAAATTTTCAGGCCGTGCCACATGGGAAATATTTTCAGTTAAAAACTAAACAGGCACACTCATTGTGCTGCTTTGCCATGCTCTTTTAAAGATGTTCTACTGGGCTACTAACCTCTCTAGTAACCTGGACAAAAATGCGAGCTTTGCGTGGAATGGATGCGCCCTGTCGTGTCCGTGGTTGCAAACTACTTAACCGGCACCACGGTCTGAACCCTCCCCTCTTGGCTCTGAACTTGCGGTCAATTGCAAAAGACAGGAGTAGCCTCTGGACTTTACTCACGTCTATTCCTGACATTTCGGCATCGGCCAATCTACTGATTGACCACCTTTAGCCCTGTGTATAAAATCACTATTTTTAAGCTTTTCTAAATATGGTCCCAACCTCTGAGCTAAATACTCCATCTTTGGTATAGTCACACCGCTTATAAATGAATGTGGCACTCCGCGACTTCCTGAAAAAAGCATTTTATAGTCAATTTAAGACAATAACAGCGCAGACCTTTTAGCCATAGCTAATTAGTAATTCTTATCACGTCAAACCCAAGTTTCCTGATTCATTAGCCATTTTGAGAAGTTGCATGACTAGAAGACATAGCCTATTTCATTAGTATAATAACCAGCAATGTATATTTTAAACTGATAAAGTAATGAACACACAGCCCTTCTCTTTGGGTTCTCTTGTTAGTGTATTCTTAACGGGTACCTACAACAATCATCTAGCATCTAGTACCACAGCTCTCTGTTCAATTCACCAAATCTGCACTTTATTCAAGATGTATAAATAGCAACCTTCCCGTTACCTATTCAAAGTCCGGATGAGAAAAGAGGAGAGCTAGGGATCGTGACGAAGTTTCCTGTAAAAACCAACAACCTGTCCCTCGTCGTATTTCCGTCATTGCAAGTTATACCGAATCAGTTGTCGTCCGGAATAACTAGGGTCACTCAGACTGTTCAGAAACTGCAGCAGACTGTGAAAAGTCGGCGATCAGAACCTGCTGATCGCCCTCTGCCAGCCGGGGACGTAGCAGCACAACAATGGCTGACGATGATCGACAGAACTACGACGAAGATACCAGTCAGCAGTGGAGTCGATAACCGTTCTGAACGGAGGAGATAGACACGGCAAAAAATGTTCTACTATAAAGACACCGAACTGGGAACTAACAGTCGAAAATTAGAACATATCTTGACTCAGAGGTAAAGATCAGTAGCTACTTGATGAGGCCAAAAAGACAGTAACTCGAAATAGTTGAACTCTCTTAAACGAAGCGCCGAGGCCCTGGTATCCTTAACCTCTTCGGGTGGAAGCCATTCTACCCAGATATAGATATCACGACGCGCGCTCACGCCGGGGTTGACGTTCTGGTAGAACCCAATTTCGCAGAGAGTATCACTGATTGGAAGCCTGTCGGTGGAAGGGCGGCATTCTTTCGACTAAAGCGACATTAGGCTAAAGCGTTGACCTTGTTACAGTTTTATGCGCACAACATAGAAAGAAAATGAATCTTTCCCTGAGGAAGCGGACAGTGCTCTGTTCGAAGTGCCGAATATGGAGTCCCTCATACCAAAGGGTGATTTTAATGCCACCTTGAAGCAGACACTGTAAACTGGAAGAGCGTCATTGAACAGAATGGCCTTAGCGACCTCAACTATAACTGCATGAAGGAGGTGCGGTTTTGTGCAAACAACGGAGTGTCCATTATGAATACCTTCTTCGATCATCGAAGCGTGTATCAGTATACCTGATAGAGGGAAGTTCTTGCACAGAAGTCGATGTTCGATTTGATAATTGTGTCGTCAGGCTTACGACGGTCCGTAATGCATGTTCGCGTTAACAGAGGGGCAAAGCGGTCAATCGATTACCATCTTGTTGTTGGCACGCTACACCGTGAGAAATGGAGTACCATACAAAGATCTGGTGGCAGAAGCATCCAGAGAATCAAATAATAACATTATCTTTGGTGGTCACAAGAGCGAAATTTGCAAACAACATCGCACGACAGTATGATCCCGGCGATGACCACCGATGTGGAAACCGAGTGGCAACTCTTTAACAGCGGCATACTGAAGGCTGCCGTCGGATGCCACGAATTTTAACGAGTTGGCCTGCCACCTGGAGGCCCGGAAAGATTTTCCTGGTGGACACGAGAAGTACAACTGACAGTTAAAGAGACGTAAGCTGCGTTCAAAAATAGGCTTGGAAACAAAGAACCTTCTACTCGCGTGCGATATGTCGAGGCACGCTAAGGCGACAACGAAAGCGGCGGCGAAAGCCAAAGCCAATTCCTGGGAGAGGTTCGGTGAGCTGTTGGAGTCGGCATGGCAAACAAGGTAATCTGGCAGACC